AACACCTTTTTCTTATTATATATCTGTGTGTTTTCTCCATATATATTCTATCTCGAAGACTCCATAAAACTATAATCTACAAAATACTTTAGATTGTTTACTCAAAAATGAAAAAAAATGGTAGAAGTCGCTTGATTACATTACATTTGATTTTAATTGTGTCTAGAACCGATTACACGAGTCTTTTAATGTCATTCTGTCAAGTTTATTGTCATGCTTTTTAATATAAAAAAAAGCAAAAATACAAAAATACAGCTTGGTCGGTCCAAGCATTAGTTTATCGAGCCATAAAAATTTGTTGGCACATGCCTTTATTGCCATAAGAAACATTAATCAAAAGATTTAGCCGCCCCATCAAAATATTATCTTCTCACAAAGGATAAGGTAGGGCAAAAAAACCAAAAGTTAGAACAAATCATAAATTTCAAGAAAAAAATACACAAGATTGGAGAATCAAGCACTAACTAAAACTTTGTTTTGATTGGCCCCGTTTGGTAGGGATTTTTTGCCTCAAAAAATTGATTTTTTGATCGTTATTTTACTATTCAAGCCGCAATTTTTGACTTCTTCTCTCACATGTGGACCCTACTTTTCTTCTAACGGTCAAAAAATCAATTTTCAAAATCCCTACCAAACGGGCCCTTGATGTACACTTAGAGACACAACACATAGTAATATATTGAGAAATTCTTTTAGAGAAATAATAACATGTTTATTTCTGTTTCTGGAATCAAATAAATACATTTTAAAAATAAATATTTGAATATCAATCTCATTGTCTATACATCCAATATCCCGACATTAGATATGCTAAAGCAATCGTTCACATGTTATTCTCACAAAGCAAAAACTATTTGAAATTAAAACTCACAAGCCAAAAAGTTTCCACCCCAATTTACTTTGAATAGTCAAAACATGTCTTGTCCCTCGGATAGAGATTGAAATTTCAAGCCAAAAGCTAATCCTAACAAGTTGTTGACTCTCCAACTCTTGACAATCGAACTACCATTTGGACAATAAAATTTCTTTTACAATGAAATATTACGTTTTTTATTATATTACTCGTTAAGTACAGGAAAAAGGAGTACCAAATATATCTATAATTTATAATATATTAAAATATTATATCAAGGGAGAACCATTTTTGAACGATTTTAACCCCACTACAATTCAATTATTTCAATAATACCCTAATTTTTATTTTTCGATATGTAGTAAATATTACATAATTATTGTTATTTATGAAATTTGTGTTATTAATTCTCAATTAATTAACGGTCACATTAATCTAGAGTTATTATAGATAAATTTATTCTTATTCATGTATCTAGAAATTTTAATGGATGTTTAAATTCATGTATTAACAATTAATTTTTATATATCAAATGTAATATAAAAGATTGTTCATTTATAATATTTTATCATTAAAAATTTTTTGAATCATAGTAATTGAGTTTTAAGAGTACAATTTGAGTATAATTTTTTATTTTCTTAAATTTCTATGCTAAATTTTATTTTCTTTCATTCGTCCAAGACTCATCAAATTATCCAACAAATTGATAATTTTAGATTAACGTACAAGACACGTTCAACTTTGACTAGTATATTAAAGTATCACATCAAATGAGAATCGTTTTTTTGAACAATTTTAACCCCCCTACAATATAATTATTCCAACAAATTGGTAATTTTTGATTAACGTGTAGAGGCACATTCAACTTTGACTAGTGTATTAAAGTATCACATTAAAGGATAATCATTTTTTTGGATGATTTTAACCCCTTAAAATCAGGGATGAATCCAACTGCTCGAGTGAGGTAGGGCGAAGCGCCGAGCATTTATCAAACACAGCCCAATATAGCAATATTGTTTATTGATATTTAATTAATTTATATGAAAAAAACCTCCAATCAATATATAAATGCACTAAAATGTAAAAATAATATAAATATTAAAATATAATTCTGTACAACTCAAAATAATAAGGAATAAAAATACAATTTTTGAATCATATACATACTATCAAGTTTCAAATTTTTATGAAGTTAAGCGAG